CTGAGGCAGGACTAGAACTCAGGATCCCCCGTTTCTGGACTGATGCCTTAATCACTACAGCACACCGAACTGGGTCAGGTGTAGATTGACATGAACTGAGAATCCCGCCTCCCCTCCTATTCAGAGGTGCTTTCCTCCCCCCCCCCCATCTGATCTTTCCACTGAGCTTCCCTACCCATAGGCAGGTTTTGGCTTGTGCCCCTGCTGAAAGAGGGATAAGAAAAAGGGCCATTCTTTGAAGAACCAGGAGAGGTTTATTGAGCTCCTCCTCCTTCCATCCTCTTCCTCCTTTTTTCTTCCTCTCCTCCTTTCCTCTTCTCCTTCCTTCCTCTTCCCTTTCTCCTCTTCCCTTCCTCTCCTTCCTTCCTTTTCCCCTTCTCCTTCCTTCTTCCTCTCCTCCCTTTTCCCCTTCTCCTCCTTCCTTTCTCTTCTCCTTCCTTCCTCATTCCTTCCTTTTCCTTCTCCTCCTTCCTTCTTCCTCTCCTCCTTCCTTCCTTCCTCTCCTCCCTTTTCCCTTTCTTCTCCTTCCTTCCTCTTCTCCTTCCTTCCTCTTCCCTTCCTCATTCCTTCCTTTTCCTTCTCCTTCCTTCTTCCTCTCCTCCCTTTTCCCTTTCTCCTCCTTCCTTCCTCTTCCCTTCCTCTCATTCCTTCCTTTTCCCCTTCTCCTCCTTCCTTCTTCCTCTCCTCCTTCCTTCCTTCCTCTCCTCCCTTTTCCCTTTCTCCTTCCTTCCTCTTCTCCTTCCTTCCTCTTCCCTTCCTCTCATTCCTTCCTTTTCCCCTTCTCCTCCTTCTTCCTCTCCTCCTTCCTTCCTCTCCTCCCTTTTCCCTTTCTCCTCCTTCCTTCCTCATTCCTTCCTTTTCCTTCTCCTTCCTTCCTCTCCTCCTTCCTTCCTTTCCTCCCTTTTCCCTTTCTCCTCCTTCCTTCCTCTTCTCCTTCCTTCCTCTTCCCTTCCTCATTCCTTCCTTTTCCTTCNTCCTCTCCTCCTTCCTTCCTCTCCTCCCTTTTCCCTTTCTCCTCCTTCCTTCCTCTTCCCTTCCTCATTCCTTCCTTTTCCTTCTTCCTTCCTCTCCTCCTTCCTTTCCTCCCTTTTCCCTTTCTCCTCCTTCCTTCCTCTTCTCCTTCCTTCCTCTTCCCTTCCTCATTCCTTCCTTTTCCTTCTCCTTCCTTCCTCTCCTCCTTCCTTCCTTTCCTCCCTTTTCCCTTTCTCCTCCTTCCTTCCTCTTCTCCTTCCTTCCTCTTCCCTTCCTCTCATTCCTTCCTTTTCCTTCCCCTCCTTCCTTCTTCCTCTCTTCCCTTTTCCCTCCTTCCTTCCTCTACCTCTTCCCCTTCTCCTCCTCCTTCCTTCTTCCTCTCCTCCTTCCTCCCTCTTCCCCTTCCCTCCTCCTCTTCCTCTTCTCCCTCTTCCTTCTCCTCCTTCCTCTTCCTCTCTTCCTCCCTCTTCCCCTTCTCCTCCGTTCCTCTTCTCGCCTTCCTCTTCCCCTCTTCCTTCCTTCCTCTTCCTCCTCCCTCTTCCCCCTCCTCTGCTTATATTATATAAGCCTCTTATTATCTTCCTATTGAAGTTTATTAGGCAGGCATTGAAAGTCGGGTTTTTGCAAACGATCCAGCAACAGAACTTTCAAGCAGACATGTACAATTCAATGTACATTTGCAGGGGGGGGGGGGGAATCTCTTCTTGCACTAGACCCGGCGGGGGGGCGGGATTCGAATCCTTCCCCCACCCCACCCCCCAGGGCGAAAGGGTCCGGCTTCAAACCCCGCCTGCGCCGGTCGACCAATCTCAACCGGGGGCCGAAGCCAGAAAAACCGGTCCGCGATCCTCCCCCCCCCGCTTCCCGAACGCCCAGACGGGAACGTTCCTTCCGCCTCGCCTCATTTGCATGAAAATGCCCCCCCCCGGCTGGGCATAGAGAAGGCGTCCTAAAGGGGGGGTGGAGAAAGCACAACAGATCCTACCTAGGCGCCAGTGTTTCTCAACCTTGACAATTTTAAGGCATGTGGACTTCAACTCCCAGAATTCCACAGCCAGCATTGCTGGCTGTGGAATTCTGGGAGTTGAAGTCCACATGCCTTAAAATTGTCAAGGTTGAGAAACCCTGCTAGACATTTCGCGGGGAGGGGGAGTGGGCGGGGCCAATCTCGGGTTCTTCTCCCCGCTGGGCCAATGCGCGGGAGGGAATTTAATGGTCAAGGGGGCGCGGCTGCTCGGAGGAGGCGGAGCCCGAGAGGAGCCACCGCCCCGCCCCCGAAGCCCCGCCCCGCCCTCTTTTCTCCCATTCGGCCGCTGAAGTCACCTGCGTTGTATCCGCTGCCTTTCCCCCCACGGGGATCCTTCCTCGCCTGCTTCCCCGCCCTGCCTCGGCGCTGGATCCTTCGCGAGAGGCTGCTTCCTCGGCCCCGATCCTGCCAGGTAGGGATCCTTTCTCTCCCCCACCCCGCTTCCCCTCCGGCCTTCAAGTGCACTTTGCAAAAATGGGCTGAAATGCAGCTTAAACCCCATTTAGAGAGAATTGAAATGCAACGGAAGGAAGGGTTGGCTTTTTCTTGGCAATCGAATACGGAAAAGGGTTCCAGCCGGGCTTGTGCAGGGACAACAACAACAACAACAAAAAAAAAAAAAGAATGAAATTTAGATGCGCTGTGAGAAAAGGATCCTAACGACTTAAAAAAGCCAGCCATCATACACACACACACCCCAATCCATATCCTAAAAAGCCACTTACAACAGGCACTATAAATACCACACACACGAGAACGGCAACACACGCACGCATACATACACACCCTGCTGGAGAGAAGTTCCCTGAAGATTGGCTCCGGTTTGAAAGTTGGGAAGACAAAATTGACCCACCCAGATTGGATCCTGCAAAAAGGATATTTATTTATTTATTCATTCATTCATTCATTCATTCATTCATTCATTCCCAAAAGCAAATTGCTCAGCTTCTCCCAACCCAGAGGAGAGATCCTCTTTGTGCTTAACCCAGAAGGAGAGGAATAAATATCCCTTGTTTTTTTAATTCTTAATATTTTGCTTGCTTTTGTTTGACAAAAACTGGACGGGAATTTCTGTAAACCGATAGCTTCTTTGGCCCTGAACAGGCCTGCGATGTGACAGGCCCCTTGTTGCAAGGCTGGTCTTGATAGGCAACGGTAGAAGAAGATTGAGAAAGAAATGCAGGAAAAAAGGAACGGGAGGAAAAGGGGAACTGACCTGTAAATGACAAAATGGAGAAAGAGGAAGAGGAGGAGATTCAGGTTGGTTGGTGGCCTTGATCAGAACAGCCCCAGGGATCTCAAACTGTAGCAACAAATGAAGGGGAAATGATGAAATAGAAGAATGCAGAAAAACCATGTTAGTTTTTTATTTGCTAAAACCCAAAGGCCATGATGTAAAATTGGGTTTCTCCTCCAAAGCCGGGATCAGTCTTCATCCCAAAAGTTACAGCTCCCTCAGCTAAACCATGATTAGTTTAACCATGATTTGTGCAGCTTCCATTCCTGGTGGAGTAATTCCAGTGGCTGGGTAGATATAATACATTAAGCCAAAAGGAACTGGATAAGGACAGAGCCCAACGTCTGACCCGGGCAAGTAGGACCGTCAGGGGGGTGAGGGGGTGGACAACATAAAGCTTTGGAGTCCTTCATGAACAGAGATACAGGTAGTCCTTGAGTTATGACCACAACAGAACCCCAAATCAACATTGCTAAATGGGAGAGGCAGTTGTTTAAGTGAGTGGTGCCTCATTTTGCCACAGTTGTGAAGCAAATCACTGCAGTCACTAAATGAATCATGCAGCTGTTAAGCCTCGCCTCGTTGGTTTTGCTTGACAGAAGCCGGCTGGGAAGGTCGCAAAAGGCGACAATGGCACCCCAGGATGCTGCAACCATCATAAAGACATGCTAAATTACCACACACCCGAATTTCGACCATGTGGCTGTGGGGGTGCTGCATGGTCAAAAAGTGGTCATAAGTCACCTTTCTCACTGCCATTGGAACTTCGGACGCTAAACAAATGGTTGTAAATCAAGGACTCCCTGTACCACTCTCATTAAACCAGGGGTAGGCAACCTTGGCTCTTTTATGACTCGTGGACTTCAACTCCCAGAATCCCTGAGCCAGCCATGCTGAGGGGAAAGGGAGAGGTTTCCAAGCTGAGCCATGCTGGCTCAGGAATTCTGGGAGTTGGTCCACGACTCATAAAAGAGCCAAGGTTGCCTTGTTGTTGCAAAGTCATGTCCGAACCATCACGACCCCATGGACAACTTCCTCCAGGCCTTCCTGTCCTCTACCATCCTCTGGAGTCCATTTAAGCCCCTGCACTAAACCATAAAGGAACCACAGGAAGCCATTTTAGGAGTGAGGCTAATCTGTGATAGCCCAAAAGACAACACCCACGCATACGTACACAGGACGTACTGTTCACATGTATGGACCCACCTGACACATGCAAATCCCATGGGGGTCATTACAGTGGATCTGACATGTCATCTGTATCACACACACGCACGCGCACACACACACCCGTCCCAACCGAGCAAAACAAAGGCGGAGGTCATCCCTCTTCCAGCAGGCAAATGGGGAGCAACAGGGACTCTGGACGGCCATCCCTCCCCTCTTGCTAAAAAAGGGGAAGGGGAAAGCTCCCGTCAGCTCCATAAGGAGGATCCCAGCATTGCTTTGATTGAGGTGGGGGGGAATTGAAGCTTTGGGGATCTCCTCAGGGCTCATGAAAGGGATCTCCTAGCTCAGGGGTAGGCAGCCTTGGCTCTTTTATGACTCGTGGACTTCAACTCCCAGAATTCCTGAGCCACCATGGCTCAGCTTGGAAACCTCTCCCTTTCCCCTCAGCATGGCTGGCTCAGGAATTCTGGGAGTTGAAGTCCACGAGTCATAAAAGAGCCAAGGTTGCCTACCCCTGTATTGTTTGGGCTATTTGGGGTCATAAAGAGAAAGAATTTTCCTCTTATCTTCACTGCTTTTTCCTTCGTCCACCAGGAGCTACCTGGAAAAATCCTCTCACCAAACCTTGGCCTGCAAGGCCCTTCAAGTGAGCAGCCTCCAGAAACGATGCAGCGGGGAAAACCCTTTGAGCAAAATCCCCCTCAGAGGAACGGGGAGAGACTCTCCATGTGCTCCGAGTGCGGGAAACCCTTTGCTTACCGGTCCCTCCTTTTGATACACCGGAAGCTGCACACGGGGAACGGATCCCATTTGTGTTCGACATGTGGGAAATCCTTTCCTGAAGTGTGGGCCTTTGCCAAGCATCTCAGGAGCCATCCTGAACTGAGGCCTTACAAATGCGGAGAGTGCGGGAAGCGTTTTGCTAAAGGCTCGGACCTTGGAGCCCATCAGCGGATCCACCAGGGAAAGAGACCTCGGGAATGCCAGAACGGGTGGAAAACACTGGACTTGTCTGAGAGGTCAGAGCTGCTTCAACATCAGGAAATCCACCCAGGAGAGAAATCTTACAAGTTCGGGCAAGGCAGGGAGGGCCTCCCTCAGAAGTCCCAGCTTTGGCTCCATGGGAAGGATGACCAAGAAATAAAGTCTTACCGATGCTTTGCGTGTGAAAAAACCTTCCCTGAAAGTTCCTCTCTTCGGAAACATGAGAGTCAGCACACTGCTCCGGGAAGGGGAGAGTGTCCAGAATGTGGGAAGTTTTTCACTTGGAAATTAAGCCTGGTGCGACATCAGAGAATTCACTCCGGGGAGAAACCCTACGAATGCCCAGAATGTGAGACACGGTTTTTGTATACTTATGAACTTGTAAAACACCAAATGACGCACAAAGGAGAAGAATGTGAGGAGGATGGGAAACAATGTCTCTCACGGACACATACTGGGATTCATCAGAGCAGCCACACAGGAGAGAAGCCCTACAAATGTGGGGAGTGTGGAAACTCCTTTGCTCAAAAGGGAGGCCTCTTTGAACATCAGAAGATCCACTTAGGGGAGAAGCCCTTTCAGTGCGTCGAGTGTGAAATGTTTTTTCATACAAGAGGAGGCCTCAAACGCCACGGGCAGGTTCACAAAGGGGCCAAAGATTACAAATGTTTAGACTGTGGGACAGCGTTTGCTTATTTGTCCACCCTTAGAAAACACAACCGCATAAAGCACGTAGGAGTGACGTCCCTGAAATGTTTGGAGTGCGGTAAGTGTTTTTCCAGGAATGACAGCCTTTTGAGGCATCAGAGAATTCACACCAGAGAAAAACCTTATCAATGCCTGGAGTGTGGAAAATCCTTTCCTTACAAAGACTATCTTAAAATCCACGAGAGAGTTCACACAGGAGAGAAGCCTCACACCTGCAGGGAATGTGGGAAGGACTTCGTTCGTAGTTGTGACCTTCGGACTCATGAGGAGATTCACACAGGACTAAAACCTCATAAGTGCTTTGAGTGTGGAAAAACCTTCGGTTGGAGTTCGTCTCTACGGAGGCATAAGAAAACACACAAAAGGCAGAAAAAAGAAGCCCAAAAGAAAACACATTAAGAAGAAAATATGCAACTGGAAGGCCAAATAGGACTGTCCGCTGGGGGGGGGGGGAAATGGCATTAGGATTGGGACGAAAATAGAGCCTTTGAGTATTTTTATGATGGATACGAATTGTATGTGATTTCAAAATAATTACATTAAGGCTGGAATTAAAACAAAAAGGATAGGTTAAGACAGGAACAATCTCTTTATTTATACATAAGTAAAGGAATAGGTCTCCCAAAGTTACAAAGTGACTTCACTTCATATACAGTTCAAACATTTGAGTTTTGAATGTGTTCTCTCACTGGGTAGCATAATTTGAGTCATAAAGCATCTAGAGAGCATGCTCAGTAGCTATACTTGTACTCTCTAATAGTTCATATTATCCCACAATCTTAGAAGATCTTCTTAACTAATAAATAATCAAGAGGTGCGTTTCTCATATTATAACAAGTTTTCAGATCATTATATTTTGACTTTCTGGACAGTTCTCATCTCTGGCCAATTTCTTGCTTCCCTACTTCAAATAAATAGAAATACTAATCAAAGGCTTTGCTGGTTACAGTTGTTCAAACCAGGAGTGGGGAACTATGGCCCTTTTATGATTTATAGACTACAACTCCCAGAATTCCTGAGCCAGCCATGCTGAAGCCATTCTGGGAGTTGAGGTCCACAAGTCATAAAAGGGCCATAGTTCCTCACCTCTAATCTATACAGTTACAAACCACACCAAACCACATGCTGGCTGAGGAATTCTGGGAGTTGAAGTCCATGAGTCAAAAAAGGGCCGAGTTTGAAGACCCCTGAACCACACTAATGTTGCTCAACAGTCACAGACAAATAACTTTCAACTGAACATTGTGAAACACAACACTCCCTCCCAGGCTGGCAGGCAGTAGCCAGAGGGACGAAGCTGCCAAGTCTGGATCCAAAGAAGATACCTGAGTGGGCGGGTTTCAGGACCCCTTTTATCCCCCCAAAAGTCCTTGCTTTGCTCTGTTGATTGACAAGACTGGCAGCTACTGATTTACAAGCCTAGTAGCTGTTGCTGGGGTTTGTGGGAGGGAGGGGTTTTCCATTTGCTGGGGCCCAACTTCTTTTGTCTGATTCAGGTAACCTTTTTCCTTTTGTTTTCTTAACAACTTGGTTCCTTTTTATATCTCTCTCTTATCTATCTCCTGAAGGGATCTAAACAAGATTCCTAGCTTTTGATCACCTTCCTTCCCTGCCTGCTTCATCTTTAGGTATAGAATGCTTCAGCCTAATCTCGAACTACCTAGATTTTTATGTGATTTCAAAATAATTATGTTAAGGCTGGAGCCCCGGTGGTGCAGTGGTTAGAATACAGGATTGCAGGATAATTCAGTTTACGCCCAGAAATTCAAATCTCACCTGCTCAAAGTTGACTCCGCCTTCCATCCTTCCGAGGTCGGTAAAATGAGGACCCAGGTTGTTGAGGGCAATATGCTGACTCTGTAAACTGCCTAGAGAGGGCTGTAAAGCACGGTGAAGCGGCATATAAGTCTAAGTACTATTGCTATTGCATTAGAGTCTGGTTTGGAAGCATCACTGCTTCAGACAGGAAAGCAGTGCAGAGAGTGGTGAGGATGGCAGAAAATATCATTGGCAGTTCACTCCCTTCTCTCCAGGACATAAGCGTTGCTTGAGCAGGGTCCACAGTATTGTCTGAGACACTACACATCCTCTTCACAACCTGTTTTCCTTGTTCCCTTCCGGGAGGAGGGGGCTTCGTGGCATCTGAATCAGAGCATCCAGATTCAGTCATAGCTTCATTCCATCCTGTATCAGCCTTGTGAACTCTCAAGCTTCCTCTTTCTGCTATGGATTCAGGATGGACAGTGATTAATATTTATACGTATATTTATGTAAGACTGTAGGTACATACATACAGTAGTGGCCAAAATTGTGGAAACCTTTTGGGAAAAGTGTACAGTAGAAATGCCACCTTTGGTTAAGTTTCCACCCATTTTTCTTCTAATTTCTTTATAGCTGTAGCCTTATTCACTTAATAATACTATTTTACATCGCTTTCTGAGCAACCAGTCAACTCTTTGCACCATTACTTCAATTTTATTACAAGCTCACTAAATGAAAGAACACAAAAAAATCCCCAACCAACTTGATAGCCATCACATAACACACTGACAAACGTCCTCCTCTCAGCTTCAATACATGATATCAATAACTGGATCCTACTGTGATCTGATTGCCTCATTGCCAAAATAAGATGACCACCTGATTGGCTCTCTAAACACTCCTGCTCATTGGCTACAATCAGATGAAGGAAAGCTACCTGATATCAACCTAAGCAAGTTGTACTTCCTTTTTCTGGTTAATTGGCTACAACTTTTCATAGAATACAGTACAGATAATTGAACAAACTTTGTTGCATTACATTCTTGATTAAATTATCTTTCCATTGATATATGATTTTATGATACTACTCCCCAAAAAAAGTGGTGTTATTAGCCATCAAACCTCAAAAATACACTTTTCCCAAAAGGTTTCCACAATTTTGGCCACTACTGTACGGTGGGTGGGCATCCTTAAATGTTTTCCCAATATTCCTATATCTTTGTGTTTAGATTGTATAACAGAAATCACTACACCAAAACAGAAAAATTTAAGGTAAAACCATTTCCATGATCCTAAACCCTCCCGCATGTCCTCCATGAGGTGGTTTACCTGCCCCACCATTTCGTCCCAGCAGTCCCTGTGCTCCTCCTGACCCCACAGGAAGTCCTTTGCTAAAAGTACTGCTGGGGTGCAAATATCTGCTTCCCCCCCCCCCTCCTTAATCCAGCTCTGCATCCCGGTTTTGGGAAAGGCAGTATTTTGTATTAGCCAAGGAATTTAGCAAGAGAGGCTATTATGGGAATTATTTTGCAATATTTTACAATATCTTCAGCTCTCGGTACACAGGTAGTCCTCAACTTACAACCATAATGGAACCCAAACTTTCCGTTCCTAAGTGAGAAATTTGTTCAATGGGTTTTGCCCCATTTTGCTACTTTTCATGCCACAATTGTTAAGTGAATCACTACAGTGAATGTGGGCGCTCCATCACTGGAGGCTTTTGAGAAGAAGCTAGACAGTCATTTGTCTGAGATGGTATAGGTCAGTGATAGCGAACCTTTAAGAGACTGAGTGCCCCAAAACTGGCCCTGCCTCCATGCCCGCCCCGCTCTGCGCCCTGCCCGCTCCGCCCCCGCTCCCCCGCAAGGCCACCCACCGTCTCCATGGCCCACCGCAGTAGATCGCCCAGGTGGCCCAGCAGTGCAATGGCAGCCACGCCCTCCACCCATGCCCCGCAGCATCATCTGTGTGCGACGGGGCGTGAGGGCGGAGTCTTGTCCCCGCTGCCTGGCTGCCATGTGCTTGGCTGTGTTGCTCCATGCAGTCCGTGCCCAGGGGCGACTCTCCTCCAGGGGGGCTGCTGATGAGAAGGGGGGCATGGGGGGAGGTGGGGCTGGGGCGACTGTGCGTGCCCACAGATTGGGCTCTGAGTGCCGCCTCCAGCACGCATGCCATAGGTTCGCCTCCACTAGTATAGGCTCTTCTTCTTAAGCAGGGGGCTGGACTAGAAGACCTCCAAGGTTCCTTCCAGCTTCTATTCTATTCTATTCTATTCTATTCTATATTCTATATCTATATTCTATATTCTATATTCTATATTCTATTCTATATTCTATATTTTATTCTATATTCTATTCTATTCTAATTTCTATTCTATTCTATTCGTTAAGTTACTGACACAGTTGTTAAGTGAGCTTGGCTTCCCCGTTGATTTTGCTTGTCAGAAGGTCACAAAAGGGGATCACATGACCCTGAGACACTGTAACCGTCATAAATACGAATCAGTTGCCAAGCATCCGAATGTAAATCACGTGACCCCAAGGATGCTGCAACGGTCCTAAGTGAGAAAAACGGTCATATTTTTTTTCAGTGCTGTTGTAACTTTGAACAATCACTATGTTTTGCCGGCTTCACGTGAGGCCTGATATAAATAAAAACAAGAGTCCAGATATTTGCCTTGATAAGCTTTTAGGTGTTTATTCAGCTGAATAAGGACGGGGCCCCTCTAAAGAAGAGGGACCCCTAAGCACACTTTAACACTCGTATTTATATGTTCGGACAATGCTACGTTGCCCGTTTCTCCACCCAGAAGCACTGGCACACTCCACACAGACAAGCTGGCACAGTCTAGATAAGATAAAGAAACAGCCATCCACCTCCCTTGGAGGTCTGCCAAATCTTATCTCAGGGAGATTAGGTGTTTCCTGAGGAAGTTTTCATGAGCTTGAAGGCCTGCAAATGCAAAGGCAATGATGACATAGCCACATTTGCTCCCTCAAGGATGTCCATAGAGACACTAGATTCCTGGTCAACAACTAAGTCAGGGGTAGGCCACCTTGGCTCTTTTATGACTCGTGGACTTCAACTCCCAGAATTCCTGAGCCAGCTTGTCTGGCTCAGGAATTCTGGGAGTTGAAGTCCACGAGTCATAAAAGAGCCAAGGTGGCCTACCCCTGAACTAGTATTGATAAGTAAACATTATAAAGGTAGATATTTTTTTTGGTCTTCTTTTCTTGTTTGTGTTTTTAGTTTTTTTTTAAATTAATGTTTTCCTTATTTTTTGAAAGTTTAAAAAGTTTCTTAAGCACATATACATAATTTTTTTAAAAAAATTTTTTTAAATAGATATCGCAAACATTCACCATGACAAGATAGAGTACCATCCAGGAAAGAAGTAAAACGATGGATCTATCACTTTATATCACAAACACACACACACACACACACACACACATCTATATCTATATATCTAAATATCTATCAATCAGACCGGTCTGTCTGAAAAACTTCCTATATCTATCTATCTATCTATCTATCTATCTATCTATCTATCTATCTATCTATCTATCTATCTATCTATCTATCTATCTATCATCTATCTATCTATCTATCTATCTATTTATCATCTATCTATATCTATCTATCTATCTATCTATCTATCTATCTATCTATCTATCTATCTATCTATCTATCTATCTATCTATCTATCTATCTATCTATCTGTCTGTATATATATATATATCACAGGCAACACAGAATATTAAAAACCTTCGCTGACATAGAAATCAACCTCTTGATTTGTAGATGTCTGGAAGAAACTGAAGCCGCTGTAAACTGCTCAGCTGCCAAGTACACTCCAAGCAATGAATAAAACGTAATTTTAAAAATCCTTGCAAATCTTTGATATATGGAACATTCTTGTTTCATCTTTGCCTTATTCTGCCTTTGCTTGAAAAAGAGGTTACCTTTTAATTCAGCCATCCCTTTATATATATTTTTTTTCTAATCGTCACCTCCATATTTATACTTTCCGTTGATAGGATAGGTAACCAAAGAATTTGTTTACAAATATTTTCCTGGTAGATAAAAACGTTCACAACCAGGAATTTTGCCGTCTCTTTGGACAAGAACAGAAAGATTTGGCTCTTCCCAGGAGGGGAAGGTAGCCCCCGCATCTAATTGCAAGGGGCGTGGCTGCCTGGAGGAGGCGGAGCCCGAGAGGAGGCCCGAAGCCCCGCCCCCATCGCTATTATATTCCGCGATGCGTTTCCGCGTCGACCCGGGAATCTCTCGATGCTGGATCCTTCGAAGGGGGTTTCTCGTCCGCGCTTCGGCCAGGTAGGGCTCGGTCTCCTCCCGCCAGGAGAGCTTTTCCCCCCCCCCGGCCAGGAGAAAGGTAGCTGCGGATCCGCCTCTTCGGCTTGCCGGGTTTTCCTTGGGGAGATTCGGCTCTGGCGTCGCCTGCAGGGAGCGGATCCCACCCTTCCCTCCAGGGGGGCAAAGGGGGTCCCTCCCTCCCCGGGCTGGATCTGCCCCCTCCTCGCCCGGCCCAGGATCCCCGCGGGGCTCCGGGTGGATCCGGGAAGGAGCTTTTGGGGAAGTTTCTTTCAGAAGGTCTCTTTGTGCTCCGTTTGAGCAGAAAGTCTCTGGACGTCCGTTTCTCTCCATTTGTGCAAGTGCAATGTCTGTCTGGAGATCCTCAGTCATCCAGGTCATGGTTGTCCCTAAAGTGCTTTTTTTTTCCCAAACGGCAACTATTATTATTATTATTATTATTATTATTATTATTATTATTATTATTATTATTATTANGCGCTTTGGAGAATAGCTTGACTCCCTCTTCTTTGTGGCAGCCCCTGAGATATTGGAACACTGCTATCATGTCCCCCCTCGTCCTTCTCTTCATTAAACTAGACATACCCAATTCCAGCAGCCGTTCCTTATATGTTTTAGCCTCCAGTCCCCTAATCATCTTTGTTGCTCTTCTCTGTACTCTTTCTAGAGTCTCAACTTCTTTTTTACATCGTGGTGACCAAAACTGGATGCAGTTTTGCTAGACTTTCTTTGTTTTTCCTTGAAGACGTTTCACTTCTCCTCCTTTGAAAAAACATCTTGTGCAAGTTGATGAGAGAAGGGAGAAAGAGAGAGTTGTGTAAAAGAGGAGGAAGAAGAGGCGATTCAGCCTTGGCCAGGACAGCCCTAAAGACCTCAAACTGCAGCACTGAACGGAAACGAAGGGGAAATTATGTAACATGAGAATGCAGAAAAAATATAGTAATTTCATTTAAGGTTGCTAAAAGATAAAGGCCATGAGGTAAAATTGGCTTTTGCACCTTGCAAACTCCCTCCAAAGGAAAGATGAGTCTTCAGATCAAAAGTTAAAGATCCCCCTGTAAACCAGGATTAGTTTACCCAAGATTTGTGCACCTACATTCCTTGCAGGAATAACTCCAATGGTTGGGTGGATGCAACACATGGTTGAAGACAGATTCCAAAATCTGACCTGGGCAGGTAGGACAATTTGGTGGAAGTTTTGGCCAAAGGATGCCATCAGCCTCTCTTTCAGGAAATTGGCGGGGGGGGGGAATTGACCCCCAACACGAGGCATTGCTGACCCTGATGAATAGACTTACACTCTCCCTAAACTGTAAAGGAACCACAGGAAGCCATTTTAGTGTTGATCAGACTAACATAAGTGGTCTTGAATTGTGGGAATTGGGAAACAGATGCCTTGAGTGTGTGAAGATGGTGAAGATAGAGCAACGAATCTCTGAGAGAAAATTGCTCTGGCCTCTCTGGATATCACAATGCTTTCTTTCAATAAAATTTGCGGAAATTGCCTGGGTTCACTAATTGAGAGGAAGTGATAAGGATATTTCGCTAACTTCTCTGTTTATCTGTATTCCACAGAGAATAGGCGTTTCCTTACTTATCTCACCAAATAAACTAGAAATGCTTGCTGAAATATTGTACGTGGTTTCTTCCCAGCCTTATGGGAGGATCCATCTTTGCTCAGAACTGATTAAGTTACTGAGTGTAACTTAGAGAGAATTGGAGATGGTTTGGGCTGTTGGTTTGAGTCTGTCTATCAGGCCGGGTCTAACCTAAAGATTGTGTATAACACTAGGAGGAGTCCATGTTAGTCTATGGTGGCCCAAAGAACTGTGTCCATCAGTACCTACATAGTATATATACCAGGGGTAGGCAACCTGGGCAAGTTTTAAGACTTGTGGACTTCAACTCCCAGAATTCTTGAGTCAGCATGGCTGGTTCAGGAATTCTTGGTGTTGAAGTCCACAAGTCATAAAAGAGCCAAGATGGCCTATCCCTGGTATATACTATCTACATCAGCGGTTCTCAACCTATGGGTCGCGACCCCATTTGGGGTCGATCGACCATTTCACGGGGGTCGCCAAGCAAGGCTGTCCGCCATTTTTTCCCCTTTTCCGGCGGGTGCCTTACCTCCCTTGAGCTGGGCCAGCTGGTGGTCGGCCTGCTCCATCTCTGCCACTTGCCAGCTACGCCTCGGCTGGCGCAGGGGGCAGAACCACGCATGCGCGGCGCTCCCGGGCAGGGAAAGTTCTCGACTTACGACCGGTTGGGTAGTCCTCAACTTATGACTGGTTTAGTCCTCGACTTATGACCGGTTTAGTCCTCGACTTACGGCCGGTTGGGGGTCGCGGCATTAAAAAGGTTGAGAACCACTGATCTACATATATTGACCCACTTTTTTTTTTTTTTTTTTTTATAAAATTTTATTATTT